TGACTATATAAACTGTGTACTGCCTTTATTCTGTCTGAGAGAAAGAAACAGAGTAAACCAGTGGAACTTGAGAGAAACATAAATAAACTTCCAGAGTTTGGCACACCACGATCCGTCTCTGTCTGCTTAAATCCTAACAATACTTGCCAAATTCACTTGTGTTCAAACATCTGTGAATGTTGACAATACAAAAAGTCCATATGAGTGTAGTCTAGATTAATGCCTAGATCAATGAGATAGATTACAACCAACAGAGATTTAAAAGCATTTTGATGTATTTGTGTGTAGCACAAAAACACAATAGTAGATATTTAGATATCTTTGAGAAGTTTAAAAAGCTGTAGATTCATCAGCACAGATTAGAATCAGAATTCAAACACCATTGTAGAATAACTGACCCCAACCCCAAACCTAATTAGCTACTATTAGGATAATACTAATTTGATTAATGATGTACAATCATCCCAAACTGTCTGAGAGGAGGAAGTGACAGCACTTCCGGGTTCAACAAATGTATTTGGAAAACTGACCGCCATAATAATGTTCATATTAACCATTTGTCTTTCTGTGTTCACAGTTTTATTCCTGAGTATGTAGAGTAGACATAGAGCAAAATCCCACTGATAATAAGCCACTGATAATGAAAGTAAACCACACTACAGAGAGATTTATTAGATTAAAATGTATGTTTAAGAATATGGCTCAATAGAAGCAAATATGCAAACATATTTGTGAATAGATTAGAATAGTTTTAAACTATAGTGAATAGAGAGTAAAGTACACAGTCTAAGATTAGAATTAGTGATAATAATACAGTGAAATAAGTGAAGTGTAGTGTAAACAATTATCATTGGAATAAAAGTATAGAGTAAGAAAAGTGAAATTAGCTTCTAATTTGAGACTCAGCTCGTTTTTGTCTGTGTTTTGACTGAATCTGCTGAGTTCTTGTGTGTCCAATAGTGTTTGTTTGTTTTTATTTTTGATTTGTTTTTTGTTTGTTTATTTACTTTATTTTTGTTTGTTTGTTTTTTTCCCAGGATAGAGGATAAAATCCACTGATATTGATTTGATGATTATGAGTAATGCATACATTTTCTTTGTTTTTAATAATTTTTTAAAGTTTTTTTTTTTGATTTTTTTTTTCTTTTTCCACTTTATTGATTGATCAAATTGAATGATCACATGTGATTATGTGATCAAAGGGGAGGGTGTTAGTATTAGATAGCAATATGGCCTACGTGCAGGACTGTACAAGGACTGTACAAGGACTCCATGTTATGACTATGATTTGACTGTCTCTTTGTGACACGTATGTCTTTCGATGTGTGACGTGACAATGACTATATAAACTGTGTACTGCCTTTATTCTGTCTGAGAGAAAGAAACAGAGTAAACCACTGGAACTTGAGAGAAACTTAAATAAACTTCCAGAGTTTGGCACACCACGATCCGTCTCTGTCTGCCTGAATCCTGACACTTCTATATAGCAAACTTTTGACAGAATTTTGTAACTTAGCTTGCTACATTTGTATGGGTGGTAGCTTCTGTGTAGTGAAGCTGAATTTATTGTAGAGTAGCTTGTAGCTTAGCTCACTACACAAATCAAGTACTGTAGCTTGCCCATCACTGCGAAACACTGCGGCCGGCCGAGCAAGAATGGCCCTAATTAGCATATGAATGCAGCGGCTGGCCAGGCTGCTGCAGAACACTATTCAGCATTGGCGGATCAATCAATCAATCAATCAAATTTTATTTATAAAGCGCTTTTCATACAAAAAGTGTAACACAAAGTGCTTTACAGTTTAGTTAAAAACAATCCAACATGCCCAGCCCTAAACCCTCCTCCCCACAGACCCCCCCAAAACCACATTTATAATTATATATACAACACACACACACATATACACACACACACACACACACACACACACACACACACACACACACACACACACACACAGACACACACATACAAGTATAAAGTCATATCAGGTAAAATAGGTAAAACAATACAAAGAAATGGGGCTGGGAGCAGATGTAACCGGCTGAAGAAGCGCCATCCAAGGAGCCATCTGCACCAGGAGCAGAGAGCCGGCTGCAGCCACAGGGAACGACACAGGACCCAGAGGAGAGTGGGGCCCCAGACCCCACCAGGCCCAGGACTCAGACCCCATAGGACCCAGAGGAGAGAGGAGGCCCCAGACCCCCACCGGATCCAAGAGCCAGACCCCCGAAGCCACAGCAGACCCCAGCTCTCAGTGCAGAGGGCTCCTCCAGAGGAAACACTGGGGACACTAAAACAATACAATAATACAATAGAAAGTAGAACAATAAAATGTGACAATAAAAAGAAAAATGGCAGCTGCCTATATTGATAATAACAATAGTAAATGGGTAGATACAATAAATAATTAAAAATAGTAAATGATAAAAATAAATACAAATAGAATGTGTCTAAAAACATAAATAGCTGTACTAAAAAGCAATAATAAATAATAAATACTAATCAAAAGCTACTCTAAAAATGTGCGTCTTGAGCCTACTCTTAAATATATGAACGTTCTCTGCGGCCCTGAGCTCCTCCTCAGACTGTTCCAGAGGGCTCCTGTTTTAAGAAGTTTATATTTTGCTCTGCAATGCATTCTGGGTAGCATCACTGCTTCACCACATTTTGTTTTCAATCAACACAATATATTTGTTTTGTCATTAATGGACCAACAGGCTTACAGCAGAAGTATTTTCACTTAATGCAATAAAATCAGTATTGTACAGGGTGCTATGATAATATTATACAGTACTTATTTGTCAACCAAAAATATAAAACAGTGGAAAATGAAGTATATAGAATTTACTTAAATATTTTACATCAAGGTTTGGTCTGATTCACTTATTACAATGTAGAGTTTGCTTTCTGCTCTCCCTGTATAACTGTATACAGAGCGGTGAGAAGGCACAGGTCCCGTGCTCGCGGTGTAAAAGCACAGGATGGCGCTGAGGCAGGAAGTGACCGTAGCCATGAGGTGAAAAACTGAACTGCGCATATCGTAAAAGCTTACTCAAGTAATTCCCGCATCAATTTGTTTATTAACTTAAGTAAAGTACTGACTTTACAGACACCTTTCAAGTATTGTCTGATGCAGAAATACCATAGATGAGACACACCAACACTTATGAAATGAATTTCAACTATGTCATTTAAAAGTTAGATTTTGACATGAATTGTAAAGGTTACTAATAGTGTGTGGGTGAACAGTAAACTTGGAGAAAAATCAAGTAAAGTATGATCAATAATTTTAGGTGAGGCGGATATAAGGATTTACAGTGTGTGGGCCTCACAGCAGAGGCCTAAAGCAGGGGCCTCATTACTTTAATACTGGTCTGTGGTAAATACACGGGCTACAGGTGGTACACGTGCTTAGACTATATTAATATTGTATGTAAGTACGTTTTTAGTAGTAAGTAAGTTTTTATTAATATACCGCCTTTTCACTGCAGATCTGAGTCTCAAAGCGGTTTACAATTGTTAATTTTGGGCACTTGTTACTCACTCCACACAGAGATGGGAGCGGGGTCGCCGAACAGGAGGCACATGCCAGACCTATTGGACATATTTTTAGTGGTAGGGGAAACCGGAGTACCCGGAGGAAACCTACGCAGACACGGGGAGAACATGCAAACTCCACTCAGAAAGGCCCTGGTCCGACCGGGATTCGAACCCAGGACCTTCTTGCTGAGAGGCGAGTGCTATCCACTCTGCCACCGTAATAAGCTTTCTTGCTTCAGCATACTCCTTTTGAGCTACTTTATAACAGTGTAATCTTGTAATAATGCAAACTATGTTTGTAAAAAATGCTCAAACAAATACAAATTAAATCAGGCAATGCAGTCATTTTTTCCACAAAAATGAAACGCTTTCATTGTTTATAACTCCATGTTTAGATATTCAGCAAAAACCTATATTCATAACATAGAAAATGCAGATTTAAATAAAGACTCATTAAGCCATTGGTTTCCATTTGTTTTTAATATATTTCATTGCAGTACAGAAATCCCCCCCCCCCCCCCCCGGATATGTTTTACTGATCTCCATGTTTAGACTCCTCATGTCGATACCGCTGCATTTGGTCCTTAAGCGACTTTTCAAACAGTTAACAACCGCTAAGTCAACACTTACGTATTTCAAAAAAAAGAGCTATCACAAGCTATACCCGAGGGCACAAGGTTGCTTGACTGTGTATACATCCATAACCTCATTACAACTACAATATTACAAGTAGAAATGCTTTATTTAAAGATTTATAAACACCACACTTTGCTGGGTTTGGCTGATGATGTAATGTGCTTTGATAGTGGCAAGCAAAAGGCAGGGAAGCACTTTAAGGGCAATATTGTACAGACATACTCAGACTGGAATATTGTTAAGTGTTTTTGGTAGTCATTTCAGAAAGTTTACAAAAATACTAAATGTTGATGTCAGTTTTCCCTGTTAAATATATACAAATCAAAAGACAAGTGTAATGTGAATAAGAAAGAAGACAAACTTTTCTGTAGACATTTCAGAAAGTAACCTTCCACAATATTCTATTTAAGAGTGTGTCTGTGCATGCAAACATTATAAGTTAATACTATTCAATGTTACCAAATCATATTTTAATTGATTTTAGACTAAACCAGAGTTGGAAAACCCTTTAACCCAAGTTAACCCCAATACAAAATGCACTCAAACTTGCATTACTAATCCAATACTTGCTTAAGTTGCCTTTTTCACCAGCCAAAATGAAAAACACTTTGATGCCAAGAACCTTTTGCCTTATAAACCTGAGATGGCTTTACAAAGATATTAATCCTTCAAATAAATAAACACTCCTCTTTTGATTTGGCATCTTTAATGAGCATAATGAAAAGCTAATTAATGGCTGTCCTTAAGTCTATAATACTTGATTGATAAAAGGGGTGAGATTGGATGTTGATTTGAAGGATTTCTGCCTGATTGGCAGGGCTTAGTCCTGGTCACCCACAATGTCGTTTTGGCCGCGCTCCATCTCAGCGAAGTCAAATTCACAGCCCATCAAACGTTTGTAGATGTCTTTGATGTCGTCACAGGTTGTTTCAAAGTGAGTGGTGGCATCGTACGAACGAGACAGGAAAATCTGCACACACAAGACAAGTGAGAGGAGAGGGCAGAGGAGAGAGGAGTAGTGGAGATAGCATATTCTACGGTAAGCATATTCTACGGTCAGCACTAGATCATATACGGAATCGGGACGGAAGCGGAAGTAAATATAACAAACTACCTATTCATGCCTAAACTGAACCAGCCATTCCCATAAAATAACCCCAACCCCGCCTTAACCCCAACCTTAACCATCTTAATCACACGCCTAAAACTTAACCAGTCACCACTGAAGGACTTTTTAGTCTAAAACGAATTCAAGAGTAGGATTGTTACTTCCGGTTTCGTCCCGATTCCGTATATGATCTAGTGCCGACCCATATTCTACTAGCCTGGCCTTAGCCATCCGTACACTCCGTTCAATCATCATTTCACTGCATGTAACGTCTGGGTCTGGTCCCTGGGTTAGCGATTACAATCGGTTGAATTTCGACCGACCATTCAGAGAGCGCGGAAGGCAGGTTTTGCAGTTAGTTGTGGGTGATGTCAAGAGTTTTCCAAACCACAACCTTTCCGTTCGACGCAATGAAGAAAAATGCAATAGTAAAGTATTCCGGTCTGGTTCTATCAAAAAATTGAAGCCGGAGCAAGGGTAATGTAGCAGGTATTGTACTGTACTATATATACATTTAAGGTAGTTGTTAGGCTAGATCTCAGAAGACTGGGTGCGACTCGCAGAGAGAGAGGCAGAGACTGGATATTTGCGTTTAGATAGCTGGTTTGTATTTACATTAATGTGTATGGACAAGACAGACAAAACATGTAGAGAAGTGTTAAAATGAATGGCCATTCAGTGCAAATATACAATAATAAATCCCAGGTGTTATATACAGTGTAAAAATAGAAGTCAATATTTAACTCATTCACTGCCCATGACGACAAAACTCGTCATGTTGAATAGTGACGCTCACTGCCCATGACGAGTATGACGAGTTTTCCGTGTTATTACACGGGAGGCTGCAGTAATGTCTGGCGCACCTTGTGAATGACCCACAACACTGATATATAGTGCAAATGTACCTGTAATGATAAATCACCACCAGTAGGATGCAGTATTGCACCACAGGAGAGGTCATAAGTCAGTGGAGAGAAGGAGGAGGAGTGTGGGGTCTTTGGACAGCGTGCTGCTGTAGCAGAGCGATGATAGCGTAGTATTGAGACGGATCAGCGATCTAGTTTAGCGATAGTATAGCAAGAGTGATGGCGAAAAAGAATAGTTATAAGCAGCTGACACTGCTTCAGGGATTTACTCGCGGATCAGTGAGTGGGGTCGAGAGGGGAGAGAGCGGAGACCCCGGTGGAGGTCCGTCTTTGCAGCCATATTTGCGTGGAGCAAGAGCCCCGAGCAGAGACACACCCTCCGCCTCTCGCAGCGTATCAGCTGCTGCTGTTACTGATGCCTCAGATTCGTTCAGAGAACCTGATCATGATTTATCGGACACACTCACACGCACTCACTCACTCACTCACGCACACAGACACTCACTCGCACACTGACATTCACACACACTGACATTCACACACACAGACACTCATTCACACAGACACTCACTCGCACACTGACATTCACACACACACACTCAAATTCACATGCTTCATTCTATTTTATACATCTATAGTTTTATTGATCTTTGTGTTGTTGTTGTTTGACGTTTTGGTTGATGGTATAGAAGAAAGTTAAATTTTCTATCTGTGAATAAATTGCCAACAATTTTCCATCAAAAGTATTATTTCAGAGTCATGTTTTTATAATTTTTGTAATGGAACAAGTGTGAAGATGTTTTGAGTTGTCACTAAAGCAGCAAAAATGCATCTAAAAGTCTCTTTTCTGCTTGATATGTTCCTGTTTACATACAGCTCGTTTTCTCTGTTTTCTTGCTCAGACCAGGTGTTATGGGTGAAAGTATGCTTTGTTCTATGGCAAATAACGCAAGAACGGTAAGAGGTAGAAACAAACTTTTTTTTTCAGAGTAAAGCAGAGAGGTTAATCTTTAATTTGGTGCCCTTGGTGTTTACATCGTCTAAAAAATGAATATTCTGTGGCACTTCAAAGTTGGGTCAAATCACCTGAAATTGCTGGCAGAATGCACTTCTCAAATCTGAAAATGCCTGGCAGTCAGTGAGTTAACAGTAGTTCAAGACAATTCAACCGCACAGATTGAATGAATGCATAGTTCAGTTCATATAGGGACACGGCCCTTTGATTGTGAGAGCACGGCTCAGTTCGTTCGCACAGATGTAGTGGCAAAGTTTATACGGCCCAAAAGTTTTGAAGATAATCCAGAGGAAGGATGTGGATGGAAGGGAATGAATACAATTGGTTGAAGGCCGTAGAATAAAGTGCGAGTAGTGCAATCGAGTGTGAGGGGTGGCTGCGAGAGCCTCCTACCAGCCCGGACAGAGCAGTAGGTGGGGTCCTCGAAGGAATCTCCCGGTGAGTCGTATCTCTGGGCTAAAAGCCTGTTCCTTAGCTCGCCATCAAATGTGGCCGACTGCACTTTCTAAAACACGCAAGGCTCAATCGGACAACGATCCGGCGCTGGTGATCGGCTCTACAGTGAAACAAGCAAGTGGCATTTAATTTCCAAAGTCATACAGGTAATAGTCACGAGAAAAATGCATGAAACACACCTCTGCAGCAAACAAACACGGCTTCCCCTCGCGTATGCGCCGCTTCCAGGTTCACGCATATAAGCAACACTGATTGGGTGGCTGCGGTCACATGACCACTCGCTCCGCAGCCAAAGAGTAACAATGGCCCAAGAGCATATGCCAAGTCAACAGGTGGGCTTTTGACACCAGTGTTACAGTAATGTTTAGCAAATGTAATCGCTGGAAAAATCGTGGCGCTACTCCCCACGGGCTCCGTTAGCGGCAAAGGAGATGGCTAGGCTAAATGCTAACGACAGGCTCGGGCGCACTACATACGTCAGGGTAAACTCAGATCCAATCGCTTCAATCTGCAAAAGGAGTTAACCCCTCCCACCTGTTCAATGGAGCACCTCTCCAGACCTTAGTACTAAATGTAATTTGTACTGTGGTGTGGTACGACCAGGCATTTGTAACTATTTATTCCAAAGGTTCTACCCTTTATTTGACCAACTACCTGTGGTTCCTAATGACCGGGTCAGAAACATTCTTTTTAAGTGATATTAGCTAAATAGATTACTCAAACAAATCAACATTATAAAAAACTATGCACACACTTCAGAATGTTGAAATATTGGCCTTTGTATTTATTTTCTGGGATGTTATGCAAAATTCCTCACTCAGAACAGAGGCATTATAGAGTAACTATCTCAGGGGAGAGACTAAAAGGGAAGTACTGGGTGGCTCAAGCTACAGTTCACCCAGATCAGTGAGGCCAACTCCCCATGGAGAAAAAATGCTTCTAATGGTAGCAAGAAGTAGCCAAATTACATAACTGCAAAATGTAAGACCAACAAGCCCCCTTCAATATATTTTTTTTATTTATAACATTATCTGAACAATTTTAAATGAGGGAAATGCATTGAAACAGTGGGAAACATTTCAGGGCTGCATTAATAATACAATGCAATTTGCAAATAGACGTCTCCATCCAGATCAGCACATGATCCAGTCTCATGTGCTGGCTTTTGGCTACATGGCTCGGTGCTCAGTTATTTGTGGGCTCGTGATGCTAATGTATGTGCGCGCGCGTCTGCTTTTGCATACCTGGCTCTCCGTTCCATCGTCTGTGGGCTCGTACAAGTCGGTGATGCTGATGAACTCCTGGTCTATGGGCTTGAGCAGATCCATAGCAGCTTGAACCTCGTTTCTTGGATTGTCCGTCTCCACCGTGGTGCTGACAATGGCGATGTACTTATTCTTTGAGGCTACGTTATGGTCAAACGAGATCATGCAAACGTAGATGTCTACAACAACAAGAACATAAGACTTGTTTTAAATCAAAATACTATGTCTAAAATTGAACTTCAGACTCGTATAAAACTATTTTCACGGTCATTACAAGGTATTGCGAGTAGACTAACACAACAAGAATGTTATACACTTTGGTATAAGTATGTAGCATTACAAAAGGGGAAGGGGTGAACGCAAAGAATAGCGTTTCTCTCACCGTGTTGCCGTTTGACCTGGTTCTGGGGGATGATGATCTGGCAGGACTTTGCATCGTGGGTGTCATGGATGGGGTGGCTCAGGATGCAGATAACCCTGATCACTTGTCCTACCTTCTTCACCCGATCCAGGGCATAACTGGGGTCACAGATCAACTGCTTACACCTGGCAATCTGAGCACAGGCACGGATTCAATAGGGATCCTTAGGATAAATATTGCTAAATTGTTCAATAATACATTTTATCAAAAGGGAGTGTAAGAGTTTACAAGAGGACAGCTGTGAAAGTTGCAAGAAAAATGTAGTAGGTGAGAGTATCCGGTAAAAATGAGTAATAGATATTATTGATTGGGTGAAATTGAAAGTGCTGTGGTAGAGGCAGCAAGAGTAGGTGGGAAACTGAGAAAAGGTTATGAATGGTGGAATAATGAAGTGAGAAGTAGTTCGAAGAAAGAAGAGCACATGAAGACTGGTTGAAGTGCAAGACAGTAGAACAGTTTGAGGCATACAAGGTGGAAAGAAAAGTTTAAGGGAAAGTGGAGAAATTTAAGGCCCATGAAAGATGGTGTAGGATGGTGAGTGAATAAAACAATGTTTTGGATGTAGGAATAAAGTTATGTGTAATGGTGCTTTCAGACCGCAAACGCTCAAACATTGAAGCCTCGCTCACGGACGCGCATTCTCTAGTTTTCAGACGCAGGACGTCCTGGCCAGAACCGGAAGAAGTTGCCAGCCGGCTCTGATGCTAACAGTTATGCTAGCGGCTTCTCGTGTAAAGATCTTCTCCAATAATGCAGCTTGCATTATTGGAGAAGACCACTGCAGGGTGTCTGTGTTTAGAGACCTTCCGCGGAGTTTATATAACAATAATATGTGTTCACGGAGGTGCGCAATAAGTTTATTTTATTATTAAACGGTACTTCCGCATCGGCGAACACACTCGAAGCAATTGCATAAAGTCACGGGAGCATATACAGCATATCATGAACGCATATATTCACAAGCACACAGTCCCCCATTGTCAACCCTGGGTTTAAGTCAAGGTGTGGGTCCTGTTTTGGCTTTTTACTGTATGTTCAGTCTGCTCGCTCAGACCAATAATGTCCCCGTGACCACTTTGCGGCTCTCTGATTGGTCGCTGCACGAACGTCCCAAGGAAAGGTAGAGCAAAGTTTATCTCCTGTGGGCGTCTATTTTCCGATCCTGCTCCTCCTCTTCGACCTTCCCGCGCAGTCCGTGTGTCTCTACTGAACAGTCCGTCCGTTACCATAGACTTTGCATTGAAAGCCGACGCAACGCATGATATGAGTACTAGTCAATGGAAGCTAGAGTAAAAGATGTGAATAGGAATGTCATTAACTCGTTGTGTGCCATTGACACATAAATACATCAAAGCAAATAGTAACGTTGTGTGCCATTGATGTATCAATACGTCATTTTTTAGACCATATTTTATCGAGCCAGCAGGTGGCAGCAGCGCTGCGTCTGGATAACAAGATGCACTTGTTGTCCCTCTTTTTTCTCAGCTTTTTGTCTGAGACTGGTGATTTCAGTAAAACTTCCTCTACTCAACTGGGGTTACAGGGGAACGAAACAAGCTAGAAACAAAATTCTTTTTTCTGATGAAAGTAGACAGTCCATTCTTTCAGAATCTGGTTTCAGATAGTCATAGTACACAATATTCTGTGGGTCTTAAAAAATGTATAAAAAAAATCAGAAACTGCTGGCACTATGAGAGTACCTGATCTGAAATAGGCTGGCATGCAATGAGTTAATGATGAAGGAAGTGTGAAAGAGGTGGAATTATGCCAGTGCTGAGTGACCTGAATGATATGAAAGGAGAAAGTGAGTGAAGAGGTTGAAAGAGTTTAAAGTGTTTGGTATGGATGGATGTGTTGCTGAAAGTGTTGAGAGGAGGTGCGAGGGTGATTGAATGGTTGGCGAGATGGTTTAATATGTATTATGAATGGTGTGGTTCCGAGTGAATAGTGTGAGGAGTGTATTGTAGGACTTTATAAAGGCCAAGTGTGGTAAATTTGAACGTGGAAATAATGGAGGAGTAACTGTTGAGTGTTATGGGAAAGTTGCGAAAGAATAATTTTGATACAAATAAGTGTGCAACTAAATGTGCTATAGGTGATGAGCATTTGGAATTCAGGAGAGGTAGAGGTGGTGTGGATCAGGTGTGTGAAAAGGCTATTGAAAGAGTTAAGGAAGTATTTCAGGTGAATAAGGATCTGGAGAAAGCCTATGATAGAGTTGACAGGGATGCATTGTGGCAAGCAGTAAGTTTGTACAGTGTGGGTAGAAGGCTGTTGAAAGAAGTGAAGTTTTTAATTAATCTAGTTGAGCTTGTCGATTGGTTCTCTGAATGTGGGATTACGTCAGGGGGTGTGTGACGTTGCGGTTCAATATGCACATGGATGGAGTTGTGAGAAGTGAATGCAAGAATGTTAGAAGGAGGATGCGAGTTGGCAACAGAAATTGCCAAAAAAAATGAGTCTGGTGTGTGAATGGTTGGTGGTGGTCGGAGGGGCCGATGGCACATACTGGTTGCCTCGCTTCTGTCAGTGTGCCCCAGGGAAACTGTGGCTACAGTAGTAGTTTATCACCACCGTGTTTGGAGTGAATGAATGACATGTAAAGCGTCTTTACATGTCGAAAGGACATGCTCTTGGGACATGGAACGTCACCTCACTGGGGGGGAAAGAACCCAAGCTCGTGGGGGAGGTCGAGAGATAACGACTAGAGATAGTCGGCCTCACCTCCACACACAGCTTGGGCGCTGGAACCCAACTCCTTGAGAGGGGTTGGACGCTCCACTTTTCTAGTGTTTCTCTTATATTTGTGATGTGTGTATTCACCTGCCCAGGGACTACAGATGGAAAGTAGCTGCAGCTAAATCTGGTGCTTCTTTTGTAAAGACTAATGGTCTTTGTACATTGTGCCTGTTTTATAAACAATAAAATAACTAAACTGGGAACTGTTCTTTGCCAGCGCTGTGTACAGTGCGGGTGGAGAGCTGCTGACCTCGACTGGGGATATTGTCGGGCCCCTTGGTTACAAGGCGCCGGGAGTGGATGAGATCCGTCCCGACTATCTAAAATCTCTGGATGTTGTAGGACTGTCTTGGCTGACACGTCTCCACATTATCGCGTGGCGATCGGGGGCGGTGCCAATGGAGTGGCAGACCAGGGTGGTGGTCCCTCTCTACAAGAAGGGGGACCGGAGGGTGTCTTCCAATTATTCTCAGCCTCCCCGGTAAGGTCTACTCCAAGGTACTGGAGAGGAGACTACGACTGATGGTCGAATCTCGGATTCAGGAGGAGCAGTGTGGTTTTTGTCCCTGTCGTGGAACACTGGACCAGCTCTATACTCTCCATCGGATACTCGAGGGTTCATGGAGTTTGCACAACCTGTCCCACATGTGCTTTGTGGATTTGGAGAAGGCGTTTGACAGCGTTCCCCAGGGTGTCCTTTGGGGGGGTTCTCCGGGATTACGGGGTCCTCTGCTGAGAGCCATCCGGTCCCTGTATGACCGGAGCAAGAGCTGCGTTTGCATTGCTGGCAGTAAGTCAGACCTATTCCCGGTGAATGTTGGCCTCTGCCTAGGCTGCCCTTTGTCACCGGTTCTGTTCACTGTCTTTATGGACATGATCATTTCTTGGTGCAGCCAGGGGTCGGATGGAGTCCGGTTCGGAGACCACAGGATTTCATCTCTGCTGTTTGCGGACGATGTCCTGTTGGCTGCAAACCGTCCTAGTGCATGTAGTAGTAGTAGTAATCTTTATTTATATACCGCCTTTTCACTGCAGATCTGAGTCTCAAAGCGGTTTACAATTGTTAATTTTGGGCAATTGTCTCTCACTCCACACAGAGATGGGAGCGGGGCCAGTACAGGAAGCGCACGCACGAACTATTGGACATATTTTTAGTGGTAGGGGAAACCGGAGTACCCGGAGGAAACCTACGCAGACACGGGGAGAACATGCAAACTCCACTCAGAAAGGCCCTGGTCCGACCGGGATTCGAACCCAGGACCTTCTTGCTGAGAGGCGAGAGTGCTATCCACTAATGGGTTAATATCGGCTGGGATTATTGGTGCTAGCAATCTGAAATAAAAAGCGTGATGCTCCTGAAGTGCTGCTTCATGAAGAAAGGGTTTATTTGGAACAACAGTATAATTAATGTTTTAATTTGATGCAATTGTATTTACTGCAATGTCACTTTTGGATATCATTCTTCACGAACATTAATTTATATGATGTCTCTTTTTATAGACACAAGTCAACTATTATGACTCGTATGCAAAAATCATTGTGACTCCAACAGGAAAACACTTTAACCTCTTAGGCAAACTCTTGGGCAAACAAGACAAAAAATACATCCGCTGGCAATAGCAGATGTATTTTGAACTTCATAAGCCACAAGCTATATATCATTTTAAAGCTTATTTTCTCAGCTATATTTATATGTAAGTGTAAACATTATCAGATATAACGCATAATATGGGCACAAAATAAATCACGTTTGTACAAGTTTCATCTTCTGCTGCTCCAACAAATTAGACTTTCCCCGTCCTTAGTCTCTTTCTCTCCATAACTCTTCATTGGAAAAGAATATCCACTTGTATTTACCAAAGTATAATCCATTCCATCCAAATATGTGCATTTTTCAGACTGCTCTTTTACATTTCACCAAGTTTGAGCTTTGTTTACCCCCACAAACATATCCATGTGTTCCTTTAGTCCTTAGCTTCAAAAAGAGGTTCCATGAAGAGATATGAGCAGGTTTCAGTCCGCAGTAACCTTGTGAAAAAGACGAACCGCATCCATTTGCACAGGGTCCGTTTGGCCTTGTTGATTACACGGCTAGCGCAATGTCTACCCAATAAAAAGAGCTTTCTGTTGATGGGTTGGACTTATAGGAACCACTTTTAATTTTAACAGTAAAAGCGTGCGTAAAGACGCTGTTACATTGCTGCTAAAAAATTTATGTTGAAAAAAAGAAGATCACACAGATTTGTAACTTATAAGTACCAAAACAAAAAAATATGCTTTTTATGATGGTGAAATATCAGTAAAGCAGTTTGGCACAATTTGGCACAAATTTTGCCAAATTGGTTCCGAATGGCACTACTTGATAAAAAAGAGAAACTGCATAAAAACTATAAAACTTAGAAGTCTGAAACTTAACACAGTTATTGTCAACACAATGAACAAGTTGGCTTTGAAAATGTTCTTCTTCCAATGAAGTAGGCTTTTTTAGGGCATTTATACATTGACATTTTTTGGCAAGGCTAAAAAAAAAAAAAAATCTGTTTTTTTTCCCAAACTTCAAAGGATGCAGAGTAAAATAGGAATGACATACATTATTTCAGTGTATATTTACATAAACTAGAAGGGCCTATCTTTAAAATGATGCATCATGTGAGATGTAAGATGTGTTTTTAAATAAGCAAAGACATTTGGGTATGCCGAACTTTTGTGCACGAGCCAAAACAGATGTAGGAGCTTAGATTGTGGCTCTAACTCTCCCCTGATTAAGGATCTTAATACATTCCTATTTTTTTTAAAAAAAGGCTAACACATTCTTACCTCTCCTTCAGACTTTACTCCCACCACTTTTCCGTTCTCCATGACGATCTCCTCTATGGGTTTATTCAACATGTACGTTCCTCCGTAAATGGCACTCAATCTATGATAAAGAGTTAAAGGTTAAAGGGTTTCCTCCAGAGGGGGGGATGGGGGGGGGGGGATCAGTCCCCCCCTAGCCATGGCCCTAGGGGGGGATGTCCCCCCTTCAATGTTTTTAAGATATGCATGTATACAATTCTCAAATCAAAAAGTGCTTAAGAATATTTTCATTGGGATACATCTGATCAGGCATACCATCTAGTCTATAATCTAAAAAATGAAAAAAAAAAAAAATCAAACACTGCCGTGTTTCCTGTACAACAGCAGTCAGCTTGACAAATGTAAATCTATGTCTGATTGCTAGCAGTAGGACTGTTAAGTGTTGTATGCTAATTTTCTTCTTGAAAAAACCATGGACTAAACCCACAACATGGTTAGTGCTAAAAAGTTGAACTTCTGGACATGTTGCAACTAAGGAGCACGGTGCGGAGCCCATGCCATTGACCAAGCCCATTTTCTTCAAGAAAATTTACAATTTTGATTTCAATATTTCAAAAGGCTAAAACTTTAAAGTGGCTTGAGATGAAGGCATATTGTAAATGAAAAATATCTTCAGTATGAACCAAACTTTGGGATGGATGTTGATTCGTCATCTAACTTGCATATTGTGACGTCCAAAAGTGATTTGTAAGCAGGCAGGCGCTTACAAATCACTTATTTGTAAGCGCCATGTGTGCAGCGGGGTCCTTTGGAGGAAAGTTTAAGAAGCTGTCAAAATCCAAGTGAATCAGACGTGTACAGAGAGATGGACGCTCGCATCTTCTGTGTGTGAGTGGAGGAGGAGGAGTGAGACAGGTGTTAGTGCTCACTGCTAGTGCAGTGGATTTTTCTTTGCCATTATTGATTATGATGATAAAATCTACAAGACAAAATTATAAACTTAAACATGATGATTATGACGAGAATGAGGACAGACTGTAATGATGATGTTGAAATAATTGTTTTACAGACCAGGCAGCTTAAGTGTATGTAAATGGGAGTCTTACTTCTTAACCCTTACTTCTAAGATACTCTTCCCACTCCATTTCAGGTCTCTATAGAGGTGAAGAGGAAATGTGTATCTATGTATTTATGTCGAATCCTGTATGAACCTATAAAAATGAATATAATGAAAATGATCTAATCATTCATTGAAATTCCAGCAGAAGGCGCCGGTAAGTCACAATAGCAGGCACGCAGTTATGGCAGACAGACAAGATGGTGGCCCGCAAAATTTGTCTTTACCGTCGAATGATAATTTTCACGTTGTGGTTTTTGCACATAAATGGCAGGCACTCATTGCCTGTCTTTAATCCATCAATTGAAAAAGTGTGGGTCAGTCCTCCTCACTCTGGGTCAGACCTCCTCCCACTGTGGGTCAGACCTCCACACTGTGGGGAATGGAGGGATATCAAGAAAAAGTATGTATGCAGCCGATCTCTGATGACAGACGCCTTTGGCCTAACTTTCTGTAGCTCCACCCCCTTCATTTGCATTGCTTTACAAGACACGAGAAAAAAATAATGCGTCATGAAAAAATAAAACGGATCAATAAAAATATATGAAGAACATTTTTTGGTTTGGAACCAAAAAACGTTGCATAATAATATTTATTAATTATCAGGATCTGTTGTGTTATATTAAATATTGGCAAAATTTGACATTTATCTATTCATTTATTCATCATTTTGACAGTTTTGGTCCTCCATAGTCTCCCGTTGTTACAATCCCTGCAACATTAACCCACATGTGTGGTGTTATGACCGTCTGCTGTATCTATAAATGCGGATTAAAAATGTATTTATGGACTTGTGGCGAGAGTTTGATGGAGTAGGTCATGTCTCGGAGAGGCTCCCGTGGACTTGCAGAAAAATTAAAAAAGTGCCCTGATATAATTTTAATGTCAATAGATATAGTCATCTTAAGTTTATTTTAATTCGTCTGACCACCATCATGCCAAGAAAACCCAGAAATTAAAGGAATCAAGAGGGAGCGGAATCGCGGCCTGTTATCGCAGCTTCATCCCCAGCTTTGAGTGACTTGGCGACGACGGAGCCGAGTCCCGCTACCGAGGCACAAGGCCACGCTATGACCACCGCTGACTTCAAAGCCGACCTGCTCGCTAGTCTTCGGGAGGAGATGGTAGGGATGTTTAAGGCTGAATTAGTGGAAGCCATGACTGAAAATGTGTCCCAAATCAAGACTGAGCTGTTTTCACGCTGTTAAAACGGAGCTAAGTGGTAGCATAGCGGCTATAAAGATGGAGATTAGCGAGCAATTAAAGAGCACTGTGCGTGACATGGAGGGAACATTGACTGTGTGTATGGGTGACATTGTCTCGCTTCAAACCAAAGTCACAAGCTTATCAACACAGGTTTTTGCGCTCGAAAACATGTGAAGACTGGGAGGCGAGGTCACGCCGCAACAATATCAGGATTCTGGGGCTGCCTGAGGAGGAAGGGCCTGTTACCGTGACCGCCATTTCCACCCTCTTGAAGACTGCTCTCGGCCTGGAGGAATCCCCGCTGGTGGACCGCGCACACAGGTCGGTTCAGCCCAAACCCAAACCTGGTGAGCGCCCCCGTCCTATTGTGGCTCGCATCCACTACCATGGGGACTGCATTGACATTTTACAACGTGCCAGAGCTCAACAGCGGATTAGGATTAAAGACGCTGTGATATCCATTTTTCCGGACTTTACCACAAAAATGGCCAAAGCTCGAGCTGCCTTTAATGACATCCGACGCCAACTTAAAGAAATACCAAACATAAGGTTCGGTATTGTACATCCTGCTCGTCTTCGGATCACGAGCAATGGCGTCACAAGAGATTTCACATCTCCAGGAGAAGCCAACGTCTTTCTGAAGACTCTCAAATAGTCCTGGTTTGTTGCTTTGCACACTCATTGTTTCATATACTTATGCTTTAGTGGTTGTAACAAGCTGTTGTAATTTAGATTTCTGTTTGTGTATTATGGTGTTTAATAACATGATTATGTCCATCACCTCTGTCACTGTGACTTTTCTTGCTTGTTGACGGTTCAGTATTTGTCACTGTTATTATTAGTGGTGTTACATACAGTATTTTGTTTTTTGATATTTGCCCTACTATTTGTATTTTTCTAGTTTCACGGGGGCTCCCTCTGAGTTTGGAACAGTATGAGGGAAGCTTTTTGGTTCACGAGTGCTTTCTTTTGGGATTTAACTCCTTGTGGAGTTTGCACTGGTATCCTATCGTTTGGGGATGGGGTAATGGTAGGTGCGTTGAGGGGAGGCAGTTTGGTCTGGGGATGTTTTTTTGTTCCATTTAGGTTTATTTTCTCTTCTTTTTATTTCTATTGTTTGTTTAATTATACCTTTGTTTTTGTTTTGTTAATCTTTCTGTTTGGAGTCTGGTGCTTGACATTATATTGCCCTTTCTGCATTTGTAGTTAACACATATGGCTGACACTAGAAGAACAAATGTCAGATTTATTAGCTGGAATATTAAAGGCTTAGGGAGTGCTGTTAAACGCTCTACGGTGTTTTCTCATCTAAAACGTCTAAAGCCCGATGTTGTCTTTTTATAAGAGACCCACATGAGACCTAATGACCAGGTTAGATTACGATGTCCCTGGGTTGCACAAATATTTCATTCAAGCTTCAACTCCAAGGCCAGGGGGGTTGCCATCTTAATTGGAAAATCTGTCCCATTCACTCTCACAAAAACCATCTTTGACAAGGATGGCCGGTATCTGATTGTATCTTGTACTATATTGCATGTTCAAGTCTTGCTAGTTAATGTGTATGCGCCAAATTTTGACAATCCAAACTTCATGAATAAGCTTTTTGAAAATTTACCATCTTTAAATGAGAATGTATTGATTTTTGGTGGGGACATGAACTGTGCGATTGACTCTCAATTAGACCGTTCAAAACCAGGATCGGCTCACTCACAAATGGCTAAAACTCTTAGCTCTTTTATGTCCAGCGGAGGCTACGTGGATCCATGGAGATTTCGTAACCCAACTGACAGACAGTACTCATTTTTCTCGCATGTGCATCAGACTTTTTCACGTATAGATTATTTCTTTATAGATGCTAATCTTATGCCTGAAGTCACAGATGTCGTTTATCATGCTATTGCAGTTTCGGATCATGCACCTCTATCATTAGATATTCAAATATTACAAGAACGCCCTTACACCTCGCTTTTATCGCACACAAAGTTTTGTGAATTGATTGCAAATGCAATTGATGAATTTATCAGCCATAATCAGGATGAATCAGTCTCAAAGGCATTATTATGGGAATCATTAAAGGCCTATTTGCAGGTCGAGATCATTTCATATTCTGCACATATAAAAAAGACAGATGTCAAAAACTGAAAAATTTAAAATCCATTGATTAACAGCTTGCAGTTGTGCCCTCTTCAGATCTGATAAAACGGCGAGTTGACTTACAGACAGAATTAGATCTCATTACAACCAATGAGGCAGAACGTCTACCATCGTACTCTCGTTGTCGGTATTACGAATACGGCGATAAGTCTGGGAGACTACTAGCTCATAAATTACGGCGTCAAACATCTCGTTTAATACCTCGCATTAGAAATGTGTCTGGAGCTTTGGTGGACGATCCTGCCCTTGTTAACCGTTTTTTCTAACTTTTATGAGTCCCTGTATAGTTCTGAATTCCCTTTAGATGGGACAGACATGCACAATTTTTTAGCTGACCTTGCATTTCCTACTGTAAATTTAGATTAATCTAATCAATTAGACTCAATGTTAACAGTCGAACTGAATACAGCACTACAAAATATGCAGAATAACAAAGCACCAGGACCGGACGGGTTCCCGGTAGAGTTCTTTAAAAAGTTCCATACTAAACTTACTCTACTACTTCACTCAGTTTACATTGAATCTTTATCTTGTGGAACTCTCCCTCCTACACTGAGACAGGCCTCTATTAGTGTTCTGCTAAAGAAAGACAAAGACCCTGATGTGTGTACATCTTATTAGGCCCATTTCTTTAATGAATGCTGATGTCAAAATCCTGGCAAAGGCTCTCGCCCGCCGTCTGGAGAAAGTTCTACCGAGCATTATTTCTAATGAACAGACTGGTTTTATAAGAGGACATCAGCTGTTTTGGGTTTGGTAGAGTATTTGTATCTTGGATACAGCTTCTTTACACGTCACCATGCGCTAGTATTATTACCAATAATGTTCGATCTAGCTATTTTTCACTGAATAGAGGATGCAGACAGGGTTGACCCTGTATTTATTTGAGGTCCTCTTCCATCTTCACCGGCATTACCAGGCTGCGTACCGAGTTAAAGCTTTTGCTGTATGCTGACGACTTGCTCTTGTATGTAAAGGACCCCAAAACTGCATTCCCAAATATTCTTGCCTTCTTTCGAAGATTTGGCTCCTTCTCGGGATACAAGATTAATATTTCAAAGAGCGAATGCTTCCCAGTGAACAAATTAGCAATGCAACTTTCCCCCTCAGACATTCCCTTTAAGTTTAGTCCAGATGGGTTCAGGTATTTAGGCGTCAATATTGGTAGATCCTACAAATCTCTTAGCTCTGCAAATTTCCCCCCATATTATCTGAAATTAAATTAGATTTTCAAAAGTGGGCCTCACTCACTCTTACTCTGATTGGATGAATTAACACAGTTAAAATGAATGTTCTACCTAAATTCCTTTTTCTATTTCAGTGCCTACCGGTCTTTTTACCAAAAAGCTTTTTTCGAATCATTGATAGCACAATTTCAAATTTTTTATGGAACGGTAAAACACCTCTTATTAGGCAAAAAGTACTTCAGAGTTGTAAATTTAATGGTGGCCTTTCTTTGCCAAGTTTTCAATTTTATTACTGGGCAGCTAATATATCTAAAATTGCATATTGGTCTAATGTAGTCAATATACCCTGGTGTCAATTAGAGTCGCTGTCATGTTCCCCATCTCTCTGTGCAATACTAACCGACTGTCTCTGACAACCTCTCTGGTCTTACTCGCAACCCAATAGTCACGTCAACTGTAAAGATTCTTAATCAGTTTAGGAGACAATTTAAATTCATTGAGCCAACTCCTTCAGCACCACTGTTGAGAAATCACAGGTTTAAACCTACATTTACTGACCCTGTCTTTAAAGTATGGCATGATAAATGACTAAAGTGTTTCAAGGACTTTTATAAGGATGGGGTTTTTCACTCCTTTATTCATTTGTCTCGTGAGTTTAACCTTCCACAATCTCATCTCTTTCGATATTTTCAGGTGAGGAGTTGTGCCAAAGTTTCTTTTCCTAGTTCTCCCTATCTCCCAGCTGAGCGACCCTGGGTTGAGCTTTTACAATTAAATTCCTCGCAAAAGTCACTCATTTCCAAAATCTATAATACTATTCAGTTGTATGATGATAATCTAACATCAAAAACTAAACAAGCCTGGGAGAATGAACTGGGATTGGCTTTTAGTCAATGCTGGTGGGACTCTGCATTGAAACTTGTCCATACGACAAATATCTGTGCCCGTTTAACCCTGATCCAGTTTAAAGTTCTATTCAGATGCCATTATTCCAAAACAAGGCTGGCGCACATTTTTCCAAACACAATAGACATTTGTGATAGATGTGGTAGCTCACCCTGTAATCTTGTGCATATGTTTTTTTCATGCCCTGCTCTTGGGTCATTTTGGCAAACCTATTTCCACACTATGTCCAAAGTGCTTTCAAAAAACATAGATCTTTCTTCTCATGTGGCAATTTTTGGTCTCCCTGATAATTACTCTAACTTCTCACCTACACAGTTACAGATCCTAGCATTCACCTCTCTCATTTCAAGGCGTCATCTTCTCATGAATTGGAAGTCAACAAATGCACCATCCAGCACACAATGGATGCAGGAAGTTATGTCTTTTTTAAAATTGAAAAGATTCGATATTCTAGGAGTGGCCTGAAAGAACTTTTCCAGAAAGTGGCAACCATTTATTGATTTTTTTCCTAAACATTAACCCCCCAACTGTTTTTGTCTGGTTTTGTTTGTTTATTATTACTTAACAGTTTTTATTTTTTATGTTTGTATTATTTTTTGTTTGATTTGTTTAGCTGTTTGCTTATTTTGTAAAAGTAGAATGATGTGTTTATTTGACTTGAACCTTTACGATTGTGTTGAAATTCAATAAAAATCAATCAATAAAAAAATATATATAAAAATATATATATATATTTTGTGTCACAGCAGGTCACAGAACGCACTCTATTTCCGGCACTGAGCCAGAAGTCTTTAAGCCCTTTATCATGTCAAAGGAAAGCATTTATCTGACCATTTAGAATCAGAATCATTTTTATTGCCACGTAAGTAACAAACATGAATTCAAGAACATATCTCCGACAAATTAAGAATTTCAACCATGTTTATATGGTATTCATGGAGTTTTTGCTGGAAGTTCCATCTCTTGTTTTTCACAAGGCCACAATATTTTCCTTTTAATCCTCCGTTTTTGTCTAGTGTTATGTTGGTCCTCTGTCCTTTACACCTTCCAAGCGAATTGGCGTCAGCTGCTAACCGGCTACAAAAACAGACTGTTCTGTACTGTGTCCGGCCGGAGTGTGGGCAGCCATAAAAAAGCTTTTTCTCGGCTCTGTTGTCATGTCTTACCTGGCAAAGCCTTGCGGCAGCTCGCCTAGGCCATACAAGGGGTAGAGATAGGGGCTTTTTCCATATCGAGACAGAGATTCACTGTACAGCTTTATTTTGTTTATGGCTTCGAGGCACGGCTTGTCCAGGTATCTGCAAATGCATGTCAAAAAGAACACCATTACAAGTTTGGTAAAAGAAAGTATTGGGAAAAAATGCCATATGAAAGAAGAGCATTGGTTTGGGATGAAGGACAAATCTAGTATAAACATCAAGAAACTATTACTCATCTGGGCCTTTTGCAAATAAGGTTTCCAAAGTAATCTGGACACGTTTTTATGGAAGTTACTTAAAGCTAGGGTACATAATTAAAAAAAAAAAACAAAAAAACAAATACAATTTCAACAAAGTGGAAGTGGAATGAATAAGTCAAGCCAAAACATGCAGTCATTTTTTTCTCTCTGTATCCTGTTGAGAGCGGATTAAGGGTGCACTTTTCTGTCAAAAAATGCCACCATTAATTAATGGTTAATGCAACCATTAAGTGACAAGGGCTTAGATATAGAGATAGAGAGATAGATTTTAGGGCTGCAAGATATTGGAAATTAGAGCAATATTCAATATGAGTGTTTAGTATTGCGATAACAGACAAGTAAAAAATAAGCACAACATTAATGACCCTCAAATGCATATATTTATATACTTTGTAGTTCTAGTTCAATGTTTATGTGTGTCTGTTTTGTTGTCTTTAAAGTGATAGTCTGGAACTCTGAATTACAATTTTTAAGAATTGCATTAAATTGACCTACTGACCTTAAATGTTGATATAAGATAAGTCATCTTATGAATTCTAATATTACGGGTAAGTCCCGCCTTCCCTTCTCTTAGCTATAGTTCAGAATCCACGATGCCGTCCACGTTAACCAATCAAGCGATGCCAAGGGCTGTCAATCATCGGCAATCATGCTCGTAGCTGCGCGCATGCTCAGTTGTTTATTTTCACGAGCCTCCAAATCAAGCCTCCATTAGGCTCTGGAACTTCATGAAAACGGAACTAAAAATTCTGAACATCAGCGCCGAGTTACCCATTTATATACTGAACCTAAATCCATAATCAGATCTTATGCAGATGTTTCAAATAATGTTCAATTAATGATAATAGCTACTTTTGAGTTAATGCACAAAAAAAGCGATTGCGTTAACACATTTGTCATGAAAACGTTAACAGATAATTCTGAAAACCTCTGTGCACGTGTATTAATAATGTATAATGTTTTCTCCAATTAACATTTAAATGTGTTGATATTATTTTCATTATTTTCTTAACTCACATCTTTTCGATATGGATATCGCACACACCAATATTGCGATGACAATATTTTGTTTATATTGTGCAGCCCTAATCAAGACTATTGGTCCTCCCCAATGTTAATCATTCAGGTGATAGGTGTTTGTCAAATAAGTAAATGAGTTTTGTTCAAAAAGTGGAGAGGGTGGTTCTTTTCTCAAATCCTCATATATACCTTTAAGTTGACCTCTGATCTAAATGATGCCATCTTGAACTACACATTCTGAGACTGACAGCATAGAAAGATTTGCTTGCCATTTTAAATCAAAAGAATTGCCTCTAAAATTGTTTTGTAAATTTCATTAGTCAAATTACTATTATTACTTATACGTGCTTTTACTGCCATGTCAGTTATGAAAATGCCATGTAAGAATGCAACTTCCCAATTCCATCAGTAGATTGGAGTGTTAAGCTGCATTACCACCACTGATTTATAAATGCAGCATTTGAATCTTCAACACAGGTTTACTAAAATTAAGCCAAAAAAGTTTAGTGAATCCAACGCGCTGACTTGCGATGGATGCCACATGAACGCATAGTGAAAGTCAAAAATAAATATTTTATCCATTTCTTTGATTACAAAGTCTGTGGGAATAATTGTGTTAATATGTTTAGCTTTATACTTCATAGTTAATATTTAGATTCAGTGGCTTGGCATTATAAGTTGATGGTGGGTACACATTCCAGTCAAGAACCACTAGTCTATAACAATGTAATGCCAATAAATGGGCCAAGATCATATGTAAATAGAAAACATCAGTACAAACAATGACAACAAAGGTTGCATGTACATAATCATTAATCTTATGTACTAAAGCTGTATTTGGCTCACTCGTCTGTGCGGTACAGGGCAAGGGCGTGGCCGGTGAAGTCCATCACGTTTTCCTGCAGGCCAAACTTCTTGTAGACCTCTCTCATGGTGGTTTTGTTTGGGTCCACACCCTCCAACGTCTTCGGGTCGTTTTCGTCAAATCTGGCCACGTAAACTAGAAACTTTTGGAACCTGCGCTTCTCGAAGATGCCCATCAGAGCTGCGGGTGAAACACAGCAAAAACAAGTTTTTCTTATTTTATTAAGCTTGATGACAGAACAGTTTGCATGTTCTCCCCGTGTCTGCGTAGGTTTCCTCCGGGTGCTCCGGTTTCCCCTACCACTAAAAATATGTACAATAGGTCTGGCACACAGCAAGACACTTAACCCCACTTTGCCTGAAGCTCCCACTGAAAGATCTCAGCTCCTGTGGACTCACCACCTGCAGGAGGATCAGTGAGGGGCTGGTGCTAAGTGTACTGGGTGCAGCTCTGACTGCCACCCCCCCGACCCAGAAATGGATTAAGGGGAAGAAAATGGATGGATGGATGGATGGTCTGGCACACGCCTCCTGTACTGCCACTCCATAACACCTCAGCAGTGCCACAGGCTGATTGCCTCCATGCCACGCTGTATTGAAGCATTCATTTCTACAAAAGGATTCCTGATCAAGTATTGAGTGCATAACTGAACATTATTTGAAGGTTGACATTTTTTGTATTAAAAACACTTTTCTTTTATTGGTCGGATGAAATATGCTAATATTTTTAGATTTTTTGGTTTTTCTTCACTTTTTTGCCAAAATCATCAATATTAAAACAATAAAAGGCTTTAACTACTGCAGTTGTGTGTAATTAATATAAAATATATGAAAGTCTACTGTTTATCAGTACATTACAGAAAATAATGAAGTTTATCTCAATATGCTAATTTTTTTTAGAAGGACCTGTATACACACATATACATATATACATGTATATATATAATATACATATATACATACAATAGTGCATCGGTTTTATATAGCGCTTTTTTGGACACTCAAAGACGTTTTACATGTCATTCTTTCACTCCAAACAAGGTGGTGATAAACTACTACTGAAGCCACAGCTGCCCTGGGGCACACTGACAGAAGCGAGGCCACCAGTTTGTGCCATCGGCCCCTCCGACCACCACCAACCATTCACACACACACCATACTCATTCTAGGCAATGGGGTGAAGTGTCTTGTCTAAGGACACAATAGCTGTTTGGCACTCTCTCACAGACAGAGAGTGCGCTACTAATGCCACAGTGAATTAGAATTCATCAGAAGTCACCATTTCTTAGTGTATTTTAGAAAAAAAAAATCATACTGGAGGGGGTGACATTTCAGACTGTCCCGTGATCTCTTCGCACACGCCTACCATCAGCGAATGCCATTAATTTTAACAAGGTAGTTAACCAGGTAAACATCAGCGATACCGATGTTCAGCCGTTGCTGAACATCCCTACTAAACACCCATATCAAATATCGCTCTAATTTTCAATATTGTGCAGCACTAGTTCACGGTAATATCATTGAGGGACGCATGAAACACATCAAATCGACACAAAGTGTTTGTGTGCACTGGTTATTTTAATCTTTGGTCTGTATGTGTGGAATAACAAGCTTTTCTCACGGTAACTGGTGTAGGCGATAACCTATACCAAACGTGTTGATGGTGACGGTACTCGTTTTCAACCCTAATCCAGATCTACCCTTACTGTTACAGAAAATCACAAAGTGACTAGTTATTCAAAGTTATTTAACCTGATCCTAGTGCTTCCTTCTCAGTGGAGGGGACTTTGTAGATTTTTCCCCCTTTGAAGACATAGCTGCCATCAATCACTTTAAAATCCAGGTACCGCGTAACCTGAGTGATAAGCAGCATCCTCACCAGCTGACCTGAAACACACAAACGCTGGAATTTAGAAAGTTACACTAAAGAGGTCAGGTTCTATCAGGGGAGTACACAACATACACGTACATCTTCTTTTCTTTGTACTAGGGTTAAAAAAAAAATCTTGCAAGTCAGTAAAGGGCAGTAGTTGATCAAGTCAAAAGACTGGCTTCTTAGCCTTAAGATAGAACAATTGACCCACACATCCATGAATAAGTGGAATAAGGTATACAAAGAGGAAAAAACATGGATCAATTAGAAGTACTTATGTGTGCGCGTTTTTTTCCACATTATCAAAAGAACGACTAATATCACAAACTAAAATTGTGAAAAGCAGAGCACAAACCGTTGGCCATAAGAAACTTAGGAACTAGGTCTACATTCCAATCACGGGCGCTTCCCATGGACTCCGGAGGGCTACCGGGTAATCCGAAACGCTTGTAGACCTATGAAGAGAGAGAGAACATGGAACAATTAAAACATTCCGATAAAGAAATTTGTGAAATGTTTTCACCTGTCCCTTTACATTCGGTTTTTGAAATGTATATCACAGAATTAATGTATATCACAAGGGCATCACAGAAATAGGTGTAGGCAGTCCGCAAGGCAGTTGGCCCAACTGTACTGTTTTAATTTAAAGACAGTGTTTCTCTCAGAGTTACCGCACCCGAGACTTTATTGATCTCACAGAGAAATTTACAGTGTAAGAGCTTGTGTTTGTGTTTATTAGGCATTCAGTTGGATTGGAGTACAAAAACAATCCTTTTGGAGACATCTACATGTCTCCATGTTACCTGAACCTGTCTTTTTTACCTTTTTGCTTTGCATGTAATGTTCAAGCAGCACTGGTACCATCTTGTGATGAGGACGGCCAACTGCAATTCTCTATGTAGAATATTTATTTTCAATTCTTCAAAAAGACTAAGCCTTCTACATTTTCTATCTGAAACTGTCAATTGCGAATTTTCATATAATGTAACCACTGGTGTGTGTGTGTGTGTACACACAAACACACACTTTTGGATTAAGTTGTCCACAAACCTCTGATCATTCAACTGTATGGTTCTGTAAATAATACATTTCTCCTTAGCTGCAGTACTCACATCGTTCAGAGGCGTGAGGGAGGCACTCTCCCCTCCGTAGTATACATTTCTGTCCATGTGTAGAACCTTCTTGCCCTTCACTGACATGATGCCAGACAGAATGCACTCCTGTAAAAAACACCAAACTTTTATAATGTGCATTCTTTAAAACACTTAAAAATCTCTATCGCCTTTGTCAGATTATGTTAGCGAGTTATCAATTAAAAAGTTTAAGGACAGCTAAATTAAAGGTTGAAGCCAGTTGGGTTTCACTGTGCATACAACTGGAGGATTTTATCTGTACTCTTTTGTACTGTGGTTATCTATTATTCTATTTATGGTTTTAGAGTATGTTTTATTGGGCGTTCCAGGCCTAAATGGGATTTGAGAAGCAAGCATGAGGCTATGTACAGCGATTGAATACAAGCTGAAGAAAAACAGAAAACTGAAGCAGTCAAAAAATATATACATATGTGCATCCCTAACTTTTATACAAAACTTTCCATGCGCAAAAGGGGGGCATTGCGTGCAAAATGCCACATGTTTCGTTCTCATCCCTAAAATACACAAGTTGTCTAGCCTCTAAGCAAGAAGGTCCGGGGTTCAAATCCCTGTCGAAACAGGACCTGAGTAAAGTTTGCATTCAACTCTGGTAGTCCTGACCAAGCTGAGCATCAAAATCTGGGGGGCTGTACTGTGGTGACCACTGCTCCTGAGAGAGAGGCCCTAGTGGCATTACAGAATGGGTCAAATACAGAGGACACATTTCCCTGAGGGGACAATTGAGTAAAACTTCAATGCAACAGCAATGTTCTGCATTATATAAGCAAGGGCATCATGCTTCCCAGAACCACAAGGGGGGACCTTGTGAATGACCTGCAGAGAGCTGGGACCAAAGTAACAAAAGGTTACCAAAACTAGGGATGCACCAATATGAAAATTTTGGCTGATTTCATTGTCAATCTTTTTTTCGGAATGCATTTTCCAAATACCAAGGTTACAGGGCTATCATAAAACCATTTTGTCCCATTATTACTACAGTAACTGTACGGCACGGCGCGGCGCGGTTATTTTGCATTTCTACTAGGGTTGGGCTTGGGATCGGGGGTACATTTTTCGTACCACCTCGGCTGTGGTTCCATCTGCGTCGAAGCTACACCATGACGTGATGTCAGCCGACTGCCTTACACTGATAGGTCAACGAGTCGTCACTAGAAGCGACCCTATGGTAAAAACAATTCAACCCCGCCATCTTTAAAACCGGCTGCACTGCCATGGATCTATAAATAGGCTATAATACGTCCTCCTCACTTCAGGGAAATTGAATCGCACAGAAAGCCCCAAAAGGCCCTGGTCGGTCGACAAGGTCCACACGTTACTCTCTCTAGGGCGAAGAAAGAATTCAAAGGCAGCTCGACGGAACACTGCACACAGAACGAGGTTTTTAGGGAGATCGCCCAGCTCTTGATTTGTGACTAGTCTGTGGTAATCCTGGAAATCTCTGGTTAGCTTCGTATCCCATTGGCCCAAAGCTCTCACTGAAATGTATTTACTGTGTAAAAGTTTGAAAGTTGTACACAGTGAGCTAACATTTAGCTACATTTAGCTATCGATAGCAAGCTAATAAGCCAACTTCCTTCCTGTGCTAGAGTGCTATAGCTCGTATTAGCTGCTATATTCACGTGTTGCCATTTTGTTTTGTGCTTGTACTTAAGTTGTCGTGTGTATGTATATTTGTTTGAGAATCCCCTTCCACAAGTGAGGAAATTACCAATGAGCAATGAGTGACCGGAGTACTTCACTTTCCCCTCATCTAGACCTGGTCTCAAGAGACGTACGTACTTTGGACTTTGTAAATGGTTGGTTTTGCACTTTACTTTTGTTTTTAATAAATCTGTTATTGTATCAGGTCTTTGTTTCATTCATTTATCTGTACACGTGAAGAGAAAAGGGGTTCAAAAGAAAAAGCTACAATTTCCTACCACATACTTTTACCTCTATTTACATTACATACATTATATTTGTCAGTAAATCCATATAAAAATGGTAAATTAATGAACAACGATGGAGACATTTGCTGAATACAAAAGTTTTATTTTGGTCAAAACAAGGGCAAAATAAATGTTTAGGCATATGACAAAGTTATGCATCAGACCCTCCTCTGCACCACTGCTACCACAAGCTGCTGTTGCTACATGTGTGTCCCATTCTGTCACATGTTCTCTGCCCAATGTATGTGAAAACCATGGAGAGACCAGCAGGTCAGCACCAATGACTTCACCTATTCAGTGTCCGAGTCATTCGGAAGCATTTTCAACAACCACTCGCGCTGTGCTGAATTTTCTATCAAATAATTGCAGTTAGTCTGTCACTCGCCCGGTGTCCTGAAAAGGTTTTAGGGGCTAGTTCTGCAGGGGGTAAGAAGAGTCCCCTAGGAGGTAATAACCAGCTATCACCGATATTATAATAAATCGCCCGTAGGGAAATTCATTATACAGTGCATCCGGAAAGTATTCACAGCGCTTCACTTTTTCCACATTTTATGTTACAGCCTTATTCCAAAATTGATTCAATTCATTTTTACTCACAATTCTACACACAACACCCCATAATGACATGATTTTTTATTTTTTGAGATTCTTGCAAATTTATTAAAAATAAAAAAACTAAGAAACCACATGTGCATAAGTATTCACAGCCTTTGCCATGAAGCTCAAAATTGAGCTCAGGTGCATCCTTTTTCTACGAATCATCCTTGAGATGCTTCTACTGCTGCTTTGAAGGTCCCAATGAGCACAGTAGCCTCCATTATCCGTAAATGGAAGAAGTTTGGAACCACCAGGGCTCTTCCTAGAGCTGGCCGGCCATCTAAAGTGAGCGATCGGGGGGGGGGGGGGGGGGGGGAAAGGGCCTTAGTCAGGGAGGTGACTAAGCCCCCAATGGTCACTTTGTCAGAGCTCCAGCGTTCCTCTAGAGCAGGGGTGTCATTCATGCGGCCCGCGGGCAGGATCCGGCCCGCCAAGAGATTTGACACGGCCCGCGGCTCATTTATGTAAAATTATTTTTAAAAATTTAATCCGCGCCGCGCTCAGCAGCGAGTTGAGTGCGTCTGTAGCTGGCTCCCACCAGAGCGGTGCTGAAGGAATATCATCTTAAACAACTAGACTGTTTCTTTGCGAGTGACGGTGACACCACCAAAGACTGTTCCAGGACTATGGTTACCTTGAAACGAGACCCACTCAAAAGTACAATGCAACCAATTCGCCGTATATGACTGAACTAAATTATTAGGTCTGATTCTGGATTGAGGACATAAAAAAAAAGTTTATTCTCAGTTGTGAAATTACTATGTAACAGTGAAAGCACTGTTTACCTCGCAACGTGAAGCTACGTCACCACACGGTCAGGGGGAGGAGGGCTCAAAGGCGACAGAGGAGCACTGACCAAGCGTTTCACATGAGGTGACATCACCTCTATGCACGAAATGGCTATAATTTGACAAGTTTTGAGTGTTGTATGGTGTATTAAGGCTGCACGATATATTAAAAAAATATTGTTATCGCGATATTGGTGCGTGGGATATCCATATCAAAAAGATCCGCAATAACTTTTAATTCTTCCTTTTTTAAAAACAAAACAGACACATCATTCAACAAGAACAAACAAGCAAGTAAATAAACAAAAGCATTTGAAGGCTGTTAATGTTTTTATTTGTTTCAATGCAGATAGCAATTTTAGGTGACTGACAAAAATATTGCAATAACAATTCTAATCACCCATATCAAATATTGCTCTGATTTCCAATATCATACAGCCCTATTGTGTTTTACCCAAATTATTATCACACATGTGCATAGGATAGACTTTGAAAAATGAAGAAAAGCGAAATATGGCACGTTTAATGTGGCCCAGTCTCAGCCAGACTTGACCACATGCAAACCCCAGATTACTGGAATTTGAAATAGATTTGCTCTATAACAAAATGAACCCCAATTGTGATGCCAGAACTGTACATATTACAGTAAGCCAATGCTACATTTCTAAACACGCAATTGTGTCCAAATAAAATGGCCTCTACAATCAATCATGTTAAAGTAGCAATGCAAGACTCAGTGGAAACGCTGTGGTGAAAAGAGGTCGCCGTCTTACTCACTTTAGTTCATATGATTCTGAGCAGCTAAATAATCAGAATATATAGCTGCCACCCCTATCAATAAACATTCTTATTCATAGAATCCATAAATGTGTGTATTGTTCTGATATTCCGTTTATTTCCTGAGATGAATTAATAAAGTTGACGAATATGAGGCAGAGTGGGCAACAGATAGCCTGGATTCGGAAAAAAAATGAGTCGGGATATCCCCGGAATTCCGCGCGGGTTAATGATAATTGCCGCGACGTGATATTTACCAGGTAAACAGATCACTTATTACAGCGCATTACGGTGAAAGCGGCATCTCTCCAGCTTTTGCGGTTAAGGAGATATGATCCGACAAACTTAATAGCAAAATACACGGTAAGTAGCCGGGATTTTGGAAAACCAACACCACACACATACATCTAATATTATAAGCTTTAGAATTATGGTTTATTTGAATCATGTCACGGTTGTTTTGACCCGCAGATCAGTGAATAAAGAAAAACCGCCGCGCTTATCACACACTCTGCTGCCGAAGCAGCAGGCAAGTGCGGGCAAGTCCACTTTTCAGGGGGGGAGAGACGCGAGTCACGTGGCCCAAACGGACCAATGCCATTGGTTGGACTAATCAAGGGGGTTTGGGTTAGTTAACATGTTTAAAGCTCGGGTCTGTAATTTTATTCTCATAACAATTTTTTTAAAGCTGGCGTCTAACTTTAGTCTCATAAGTCTAAATAACACATGTTTAGAGCTGAGGTCAGTAACTTTAGTCTCATAAATAACATGTCTCTTAACCCTTTAGGTGCCAGAGTTTTTTCAAGAAAATATACAATTTTGATTTCAAGATTTCAAAAGATTGAAAGATCTCAGCTCCTGTGGACTCACCACCTGCAGGAGGATCAGTGAGGGGCTGGTGCTCTGTGGACTGGGTGCAGCTCTAACTGCCACCCCCCGACCCAGAAATGGATTAAGGGGAAGAAAATGGATGGAT